CTGCCGCCCTCGCCCCGCCGTCCCCCGCCCCCGCCGGGCCCCGCTCCTCGGGCGGCGGCTACGAGAGCTGCCAGAGCTGCAAGCGGGCGGCGCTGAGCGCCGGCTGCGTGTGCGTCGTCGTCTCCTTCCTCTCCATGGTGGTGCTGCTCTTCACCGGCCTCATCTTCGTCAACCAGTACGGCGGGGACGCCGCGCCCGGCGCCGCGGCATCGCCCTCGCCGGTGGGGCCCATCTGCCTGTCGGTCGCCAGCATCCTCGCCCTCTTCTCSGTCGTCGTCACATGGCTCATCTGCTGGCTCAAGTACCGGCCCGAGGCGGCGAGCGGCGGGGCCACGGCCAACGGCTCAGCGCGGGGCCGGGCCCGCAGGAGCGACACGTAGCCCCGGCGGAGSGGAGCGGAGCCGAGCGGGCTGGGCRGGCCCGGCGCTGCGGGACAGGAGCCCCGGCTCGGGGACAGCGCACGGGCGGACCGGGGTGACAGGTGCCAGCCCCGCCGCGGCCACCACGCCCGGCCCCGCGGCACTGGCACAGCCCCAGGCGCTGGGGAKGGCCCGGAGAGGGGTCACGGAGGGTCCGGCCGCTCGGAAGGGAGGGCAGGGCGCGCCTTCCCAGCAGAGATGGCTGGAACGGCCTCCCTGGGGAGCTGGAGCTTGGGCTGTGCGCGGTCCCCGCCTCTGCGGGAGCGCATCCCGGTGCTGAGCTCCTGATGCAGAAGGACACAATCGCGATTAAAGAAAACTGGCTTACTGTTGCCCCCACCTGGAAGATAATTGGAGAGGTTCACTGTGGTTAGGAGCAGAACAGGAACGCGATGTTAAATGCGCTTTGTGTTTGCCCTTTTATGAAGTTAACAAGTTAACGTGTAGAAGAAGTTGTAACAGAAGTGTGTTATCTTAAAAGACTGAGCCAAAGTTTCCTACAGTGTATTGAGTATGGTTTCGTTATKATTTTATAAGAAGGCCATTGAGCCCTCTGATGGTTGCTTAAAATAAGCTGTATTATTTAATTCTTTTAAATTCTAATTTAATGTGGGAGACTGAAACACTATAYTGAACATTTAAAACAATTTATGGAAGATTATTTAATTAATGGAGCTCTAAAAGAGCACTAAAAGACTCCTGTCGTAGGGATTAATACTTCACTGGCCACTGATTTCAATTTTTATGCGATGAGAGGAGCCCACATTAAAGTATGGACTTTCAGCATCACTGTAAAAGTGGAATGCAGTAGTGTGATTTGTGATTGAACATTCAGTCGAGGTAGCTGTAGTAAGACGATGGTTTTCCCCCTTGGTAAGTCTATCTTCTCTGTTGGGAGGTTCTGTAAAGGACAGCGGAAAAGGGTTTTGTTCTGTGAGTTTGGAGCATCAAAGGTGTCTTTGAAATGTGACAAGATGCTCATGATATGAAATGGAAAAACATTGCCATACAGCTGGTTTTGTAGTATATTAAGGAGAGCACTCTATATAGATACTGTTCTATGTTGCAGGATAATTCATTTGGTGCCTGAATTTTTTAAACTTAATTAGTTGTTATAATCTATTCTATCGGGAATAAGATAATGCTGCTTATTCCGTGTTTCTACACAGTACTGTAATGGAATGAGGTAATTATTTTCGTGCTTAACAATTCAAGAATTTTAAAAGTGATCTTTTAGTATGTGTATTTTGCAAGCTGTCTGCATGATATTCTGACAARTATCCTCTTAATAGACCTTTACTTGACCACTTCTGTTTATCACAAGTGCAAAGGAACTTTGTAGAAATGTAAAGGCAGCAGGTGAAGATGTGTGATGTGTTTTATGACTGCACAAGTGATGTGTGCTGTGCAATGTCTTGATTATCACAAATCTGTGAAAAAACAACCCCCTGATTCCCAAGAAACCCCACAAACCAAGCCGTGTTTGTACAGACTCTGATGATGGACGCAGTTTGTGGAAACGGCAGATGATTTTTGTGTCACTGATGTCTATTGAAAAAGATCCGCACCAGCCTTTTAAAGTTGTATATCATAATATAAAGGCCCTGAGGAGATAAATTACTGGGATCAACTGTGGCTCTGACCGAGATTTGTGTATTTAGACCAGTGTTTTCCACCTTGGAGTTGCTCGTTAGCTGTCTAAAAGGTTATGCCTCCTAAAATCAGGCCTGACCGTTAGCCCCTGTTGACTTCAGCAGTAGTTGTAGATGTTCTGCACCAAAGAAAATCACGAGACTTTTATTTAAGCATCTAAATGAGAATTTAGATGCTTGACTTCAGGTACAAATGTTTGAAAATTTGGGCCTTAACCTCTTTGTTGTTCAGTTAATGCATCTGTAAAGTTTGATAATTGCATTGACCTACCTCACAGGCAAGATGTGAGGCTTTATTTATTAATGTTTTTAAGCAATTGGAGATTCCTGAAGAGGAGGTGCTATAGAAGTGAAAGTATTATTATAAATGATACTGTAGTAGGAATAAATATATGTAAATTAATGGACATAAACAGCAGCAATGTTTTCTAAGAAAAATAAAWATATAAAATATGTACATGTGTACATCATATGCACCAATACATGATTTACCTGTTTGTGCTTCTCCTGCAAATGCAGTGGGTGTATCTGCATTTCTGTTCARCCAGGTAAGCTCCAGTACCTTGCAGTTCAGGTGAGCCCAGCCAGCGGTCACCGCTCCAACTCCATCTCTCACAGACATCCCCAGGTAGCTCTGAGTGCTCCTGGAGCTCAGCTGGAGCTCCCTGCATAGCTTTTTCTCTTTTCTTAGCTTTAGTCCTGCAGGCTTTGGCTGCAGGGAGCTGCTCAGGTGTCCCAGGGCACGGCAGCGAGCTCCCTCCCATCTGGGAATGTGTGCAGGAGCTGCTGTCCCACRGCAGCTGTTACAGAGCTGAAATACTGATTACAGGAAGAAATGTRTACTCCACCTTTACTTTCCACATCATAGTTTTATTCTTGCCTTTTCTCTGTAAACAGTATTTGCCATTTTGACCAAACCAATGGGATCCATGGACTACTAAAAGAGCTGCGAAAGGTAAGTAAGAAAAGCAAATCGATCATCAGAAGCCTAAATCTGTTGYGTGAGGGTCAACTTTGAAAGCATTTAGAGGTTGGCACATTACAGAAGGTTGAAGATCACAGGCCTAAACAGGATTTTCAGGCTTATTCACATTGAATGATCATATTACATATCAGGTTCCTACTCATATATTTGGAAATATATCAGAGCCAAATTAAAATGGACAGTCTGATCTTATGCCAAATCCTTCTCTCTGCTTACACAAATTTTGGGAAACTCCACTGGTTTCAGGAGTGTTAGTCTGGATCCACATCACAGTACCAGTCAGAAAAAATCATGCATTGTATACATCTCTGGCTACTGTCAAATCCCAGTATTATATTTGTATTTTGGTTTCCTTTGAGTGTACAGATTGCTTGTCCAAAGCCAAACTTTGCTCCAGTTTCAGTAAAAAAAAGTTAAGTAAAAATACAAAAAGAGAAAATCTGTGTGGCTGGTGGTGTTTTATTATTGTAACTGTTTCAGACACGACACTTGTKTGTTCTGGTTGTTTAAAAACACAGAGATATGCAGCACAAGGGGTGTGCATCAGTCACACAATCCGCACATCTTGCAGAACAAACGTTGCTTTGGGGCACTCTGTGGGAAAGCAGGGAAGACAGGGTAATCCACAACACCGTGGGGGAAATCATGGGAAATACAAGCTGCTGGCTCGTTTTTTTTTTTTTTTTTCCCTTGCAATCAGTTTTTTTTGCTATTTTTTCCTCTACTGTGCAATATTTTCCTGTGTTACTCAGTCTGGGGCACAAGGAATGGAAACACCAGGAAAATAAACAAAGGCCTGAATCTTTCTCCAATTTTTTTTTTTACCTCTCCATGATCGCAGTATGTGTGAACTCTGAAAGATCTGTAGTTTCCTTTTGTGCCAAAAGATCTTACAATTTTTGTGGCAATAATCCCCCGTTCCTCTGCCTAACTGGAGCATACTGGACTCCAAATGGAAAGACCAAATGAAGTTCAAGATTTGGAACAGGCTGCCAGATGTCATGTTAAACCGAGAGAAGGAAACAAAAACAGATAGGAGGGCAGAATCCAGACRATGAACACAACCTGGGTGAGTAGTTGTGCTGCAAACTGCTTTTCCATCTCACCTGGGGCAGGTGACTGCTGCTGGAGGAAAGTTCTCGCTGTACCCAACAGCAGCTGAAGGAAAAATATCAATATGTGCTATTAGTGGGCAGCTTCTGCCACTGACAGTGTGTGGGATGCATTAGGGTGGTCACTACTACAACTTCGTTCATATTGCCCTTCTGTATAACTTGTGCTCAATAATTCAATTTTTAAAAAAACAATTATTAATATTTATCCTATACCTTCAGTGACACAGTGTATAAATGTTGTTTCTGCTTTCTCCCTTGAAAGTGTTCCTAGTAAATCCTGCAGCCASAGAGATGAAATTATAATCCTTTTTGTACCACTAGCAGAAAAGAATCACACAATGTTCATTTATATAATGGTGAGCATTCATCTTTGGACAGGCACGTTTGACAGAAAATCAGTGAAGTATTTCATAAATRCATGGAAGGAATATTATCTAGTTGGTTGGTTAAAGGGCCTGCATGTGGAGGCACTTCTCTATTTTAAAATGCAAAAAGCAACACAGCAGTTAATCTCTTATGATAATTTGAAATTTAGCACAAAGCCAAATAATTAAAAAGTAGCAGTGAGTGCTAAGTTGCACATGGCTCCAGGTTAGAGCAAYGAGCTGTATTTCCTGRGGTGAATGGTGGTTTGCCTCCCATYTAGTTTTGTCTGGGTTGAGACAGCRTTTTGGAAGCACATTTTGAAAATCATGATTAGTCATAGAGGGCTGAGAACCTCGACTATCTCACTCTGAATTTCTGTCTGCATTTATACTTCTAAGAACAGAGAAGAATAAATTTCCATTATTTTTTCCTTGTACTGTAAAAGTATATTTTTAAAATATAGTGGATCCCAGGTACAATAGAAATATTGTTGCTTCTTACCTCAATGCTTTTTCTTTGTAGCTCAAATCATCATTCAGAGGGATTTGKGTTTGTTCTCAAGGCTTACATCCCAAAGTAGCTCATTGTGTGTAACACTTCATTTAAAATGCCTTTTATGTATGATGGCAGAGTGAGTTTCCTGCACACAGCTACCACAGGCTGAGAGCTACAGGTGTAGTTATAGGGTTAATATGAATTCCCAGTTCAAATCCTCCTTTGCTGAACAATTTCACCGGAGTGGGAGAACTCCTCCAGCTGGCTGTCCTGGTTGTGCAAACAGACAAAATCCCMCAGAGTGGGAATTTGAGGTGTGTGTGAAGCGCAGTTTGTCTGTAGGTGTGCTGTGTGTTTTCAGCCCTGGGGCTGAACAGCTTTGCTCAGGGCAGTGGTCTGAGTGAACCCCAAAGGAAGGTCCAGCGCCCTTGCTCATGTTCCTGACTGATACAGCCCTGTCTCTTTCCCATAACAGTCTTCCCTGCATCACCAAAATTTTAACAACTGCCAATATTTAAACATGAGTGTGTCCAGAGGAGTGGTTTTTAACCATCTCTGACCTGCAGGCTTAAGCACAAACAGTACAGTTGTTATTAATATGCTGTGACAGATCCTTATGGGCGCAAAATTGAGAGACTAAAAATCATTGAAATTAAAAGTGTCTGACTTTGTTAGAGCTCTTCATGTGCACTTAAATCCTCCTGAGCTCAATGGTCCTTTTCTCTGTGTTACGGATGCTTTGTAGCTGTCCTGTCCTTGTGTGCTCTACTAGCCTGGAGAAAAATCTGTTCTGTCTGGAGGTTAGTTGATTTTGTCACCATGTCATGTTGCCAAAGAACCTAAAAGATAAAGAAAAGAGATAAGATAAAAATAAAAGATAAAAAGAAAATGTTTCTATATGCTTGTAATCGTCTCCTTTAAACCACACCAGAGGCAGCTCCCTGTCATCTTTCCRTTGGTGCAAGATCCTCACACAAACAGTAAAAATATTCACTTCATGTTACAAACGGGTCAAGGAAGTGGTGCGTTTTTCATGGCTATCATTCCTAATGTTTCTGAAGGATATTTAAATTTGGTGGCTCACTTTTATTAAAGCTAGAAAATCCTGCAGCTTGCCCTGCTTTCACATTTTATCTAGGTGCATGTAGAAATGGAGAAAGCTGGAAGAAATGCCTCAACTATACTGAAAACTGTGGGGGCTTTTTGTGGAGGACGCATACATGCATACTAGACACACTCAAATATGCTTATCTTTGATCAGTGCAGCATGAAATACTTCGGCTGGTGTTTGGGGAAGGAGCAGTGTTGGCCTTCTGCTTGTATCTGTTCTTACTGAAAAGACCTGGGTTTGACACTRGCTTCAGCATCTGAGCTGTCTCAGRCGTSCTGTTCAYATGTCATGCAGATTGAGAGATTTTGCATCAAGGTGATTGTAATCTCTTACAAATAGCTTCAGTTGAGAAGTATTTCAGCTGTTTTGAGAAGATTTTTACAGTACTCAAATACCACGAGGTTGATTTGTCTCATTGGATTATGAAATTTGGGGGGAATAGCCTGAAAGAGTTTTATTATTGTTGTTGTTGTTATTATTATTACTATCACTATTACTATTATTATTTCTCCCTCAAACCTAGTACACATTTGTCAGGAAATCTAAATTTTAGAGTTCAGCTCATTACAGGTCTAAATATAAGCTACATTTCCCCATCCTACCTCTAAGCTGTTTAATCGTTTAGCAAAATCCAACATCCCTTTTAATTATTGTCTTGTGATATTTTTATTAGTGATAAATAGCAATAATAGCATTTGGGTTTTGGTAAGGGGCTTGTTTGTTTTTTAGTTGGKTGTTTCTGTGACTGAAATTTGAGGAATATGCTTGAGATAAAGATCAAAATTTGCTTTCCTTTAAAATGTGAAGAACTAAACTTGTRATGACTTAGAAAAAGTGTGATGAACAGTAATGTCAGCTTGATTTCCACGTGGAAAATAAGGACTTGTTAGCTGGATAGTTAATATTAGGGGACAGAATGTATTCCTCTGTGAAAAAAAAAAAAATAATTATTGAAAATGCCGAAGTAAATTAAATGAAACCATAAAACAGAAAACACACCTTCTTCTAGCCAGGCAGTAAACCTTTCTATGAGAGAATAAATTTAGATCTCCTGGCATTATGCAAATATCAACATCGCTTGGAAAATAGGTAACGTTCTAGTTGTCTGGAAGCTCCTTCTGCTTTCTTTCTGAAGGAGAGGGAAGAGTCTCTTTTCATTAATGATCACTAAAACTATTAGTCCAGACATTAACTGGGTCAAGTTGCCCTCGGAAAAAAAAATCAAAACAAAACAAATACAAACAAGCACCAAAACCTTAACTTCTTTATTTTCTGTGGACAGTTGTTTAATTTTGGTGTGAGGCCGAACAGCAGCTCTCCCCTCGCTCCAGGGGCTTTGTGACCGGGGACAGCGGAGGGACCCGGACCGGTGCTGAGAGCGCCCCGAATCCCCGCRGGTCGCTCGGTGTCTGTCCCGCTGTGTTTTCCTTAACGCAGTGATGCTCTGACGTTGGAAACGAGCGCTCGGCGCTACAGGAGCAGCGCTCGGCTGATGGGAAGCGGGATCCCGGTATTCCAGCGCGGGATGGGTGGCGGGGAAGGAGACGGCAGAACGGCAGCATCAGCCGCCTCTCGGCCCCGCTCGGGGATGGGGATGCCCGCTGTGGGGAGCGGGGGATGGAGCCGGGGGATGGAGCCGGGCGATGGAACCGCAGGATGGAGCCGGGGATGGAGCCGGGGATGGAGCCGGCCGCCTCCCCCCCGCTGCCGGCCCTGCTGGGCTGCCCCAGGTCCGGGATTCGCCCTGTCGGGCAGCGGAGAGCATTGCCGCAGCTTCGGCGGGACTCCTCTCCGGTCCTTTCCTCCGTGCTTTCTTTCTCTTTCCTACTTTCCTTCCTTATTTCATTCTTCCCTTCTTCCTTTCCTTCATTCTTTCCTTCTTTCCTTCCTTCTTTCTTTCCTTCTTTCTTCTTTATTTCTCTCTTGTTTTCTCTTTGTCACTCTGTCTCTACTCATCCTTTCCCAAATTTTAATTCAGTTCATCTTTAAAAGAATAAACGGTGAAATCATATAGCTGTGGGCGAAATCCCGATTAATTAATTCAATGTCTATGCTAGTAGAGCAGCTTCTCTCTTAATATCGTTCATTCCCGGCTCCATCGTATTGGACAGAGGGAGAAGAAACAGGGTGAGAGGGAGGGAGGGAGGGAGGAAAGAATGTCCCAGGAGACAGTTGGGACCGTTGGGATCGAGGGCTGGATGCCTGCCTGTGCCTATCTTTTGGCAGACTCAGCGTGGGTCACACAGGGCCACGAGTGTTCCTCGTTTCTCCAGCCGCTCTGCAAATCCCCCGTTCCACGGGCAGATGTACCTGACGGTCCGAGCCTCGGGTTCCTGAAGACT